AAGCCAGTAAGCAGCAAACAGTCTCTGCTTCAGGCCCTGTGACCAGGTTCCAGCTGAGTTCCTGTCCTGGCTTCCCTCAATGATGGACCATCACTTTAAGCTGAAATAAACCCTTTCCTCAACAATTTGGTTTGGGTCAGTATTTTCTGTCAGCAACAGATATTGAACTAATACAAGAGAGTACTAAAATTATTGTAGTAACAAATCTTAGTTGTGAATGCTCAAAAAAAAGATACCTTTAGTCTTCATTAACTTTAGTCTTCATTAACTTGCACTATTACAGCCAGGGAGACACATTTTGCTGTGGAAGAGGGGACAGAAGTGGAGGAGGTGGTGATGTTAGCCTTTGGAATTCCCCCCTTTGAGAGTGCTTTCTCAGCCCTGTGAAGGAGAACCTGGGGGCCAGTGAGCTCTGGAATGAGACTTTGACTCCCAGCGGTAACATTAATCTTAAAAGGTCTCATTAGTAAAAATACCTGGAGCCAGATATTGGGGTGAAAACTGAGCGATCAGAGGAATAGGACAAGCCACAGCCAACCTCACCTTACTGACTCCTCAGCCTCTGGAGAAAGGACTTCCTGTATACTCACAACTATATACCTTTCTGTGCCCTGCCATCCTACTTCCTCTCTCCACCCAGCTACATCACTTCCTCTTTCTGCTCAGCTCTATCACTTCCTGTCTGTCTCTACAGACCTCCAGATCTCTATGGTTAACTAGTGCTAGGAATTAAAGTTGTGTGCCACCACACCTGGCTCTGTTCCCAGTGTGGCCTTGAACTCACAGAGATCCAGATAAATCTCTGCCTCCTGAAAGCTAAGATTAAAGGCAGGTGCTACCAGTGCCTGACCTCTATGTTTAATAAAGTGGCTGGCTTTTTCCTCTGATCCTCAGATAAGCTTTATTGGGGTGCACAAATAAAATATCACCACACCCACCTCTACACCTTACTGATTTCAAGAGCCCAGAGGAATGCCTTACCTCCTCCAGGCTTTGATCCATTCATCTGGAAAATGAGCCTAATATGACCTCATTAAATATTTATTGAACTCAGTGCCCTATTCATATTCAGAACCTAATAAACAGTACCAAGAACTATAAATGGTCAGGTGCACACACAGCTTCCCAGATTTTTATTCCCAACACAGTCAGGACTGTAGATTTCAATGCAGTAAGAAACCCTTCCAGCTAGCTGCTGGAGTGGCTTAGATGATCCTCAGAGTTTATAGACCAGGAAACTTGTTCTGCTTCATGACCCATGATCTCCTAGTTCCCATATGTGTAGACCATTCTATTTGTTTACATAACTTAAATTCAAAATTGGTCCAAGCTCAAGCTAGACCAAAATCCAAGCATGGAGAAGGGGAAATGGGAACAAAGTCCCACTCCTGGCCAAGAAGCTATTGCAACTGATAAATGCTAGGAGATGTTGAATCAGCTTTCTTCAATGGAGTCACATTGGGTATATTGACCACACTCCAAGGAAAGTCCCATAAAAAAATAATGTCCTTGAAAATATTTTCTGTTTATGCTGTTGTTATAAATCATTTGCTATGGTCAGCAGGCCCTCCTCAATGTATTAAGACCAAATTAATATCTAAAGCTTACACCCTTTATAATTGATATAGTTTTCATCTTAGCCATAGACTGCCTGCAATATTATTGTGTATCTCCTAAATGAAACCGAAGTGTCAAGGGCATGTCAGCATTCAATGCAAACTGTGAGTGCCCAGCTGAAATCAATAATGGATGCAGATGATTCTGATACATTTACTACTACCCTTCACAACCCTGCTTGAATGGCCTTATAATTAATTAGTTTCAAAATGGATGACACGGTAGCACCAAACTTCAGCTAATTGTGTGTAAGCTAAATATAATATCTAAATAACCACTTCAGTTAAATACAAGGCTCAGACAACTAATCATTAAAATCAGAATAAAAAAAACTTAAAAAAAATCTCTAGGTTTGTTGTTTGGAAGCCACTGGTACTGCGTGTCTAATGAGGTTTTCCTCTACTGAATGAAAGGCTGAAGGTCCCTCCTCAGTGTGACATCCAGTAGGTGATGGCCTTTGTGGGGTCATGGTGGCCAAATGTTCTGAATCTGAGTGAAGACATCTGTTTACTAGAAACCCAGAGGCAAAGCTTTGTTTTCTGCTTTGCTAATGCTCTTACAATTTACAATTTATTCTAGTCCCATAAATATCTAAGAAAAAAAATCAGTAATAAATACAATTCAATACTGCAAAAAGAAAACGGGTACATTTTACTAAAAGTACGTATATAGTATATATAAATTTACAGAAAGAGCTCTGAACAGAAAGATATCTAAATAATTTGTGATTCGAATTTTTTAAGAAAGTTCTATTACACTTGAAGAATAGTGAGAAATAGCACACACACACACACACACACACACACACACACACATACACACAAACCATTTCACTTCATAAAATGTAGGCATCCATAGTCTAAAGGTTATATCTGAGAGACTACAGACACACACACACACACACACACACACACACACACACACACACACACACATACACACACACACAAACCATTTCACTTCATAAAATGTAGGCATCCATAGTCTAAAGGTTATATCTGAGAGACTACAGAAATACATTTGTATGTAGTTTTTATTTTTGAATCTGCTAGTTCTTACAATGCTAGTTCTTACATCTAGCATAAACTAACAATAAGTGCCTGTAGGGCAGAACATAGTGATTGGAATTCCGGAACTTGAGGTGGAGGCACACATGTGCTATGGTATACCGGTGGAAGGGAAAGGACAGCCTGGAGTGTTTTTCCTAACCTTCCACCTTGTTTGAGACAGGGTCACTTTGTGCTGCCCTGCTGTGTACTCAGGGATGACCGACCTGTGAGCTCCTGGGGATTCTCTTGTCTCTGTCTCCCAGGCTACTGTGTCCAGGGTATGTGCGTTCCAAAGATCCAACCCAGGTCCTCACATCTACACAGCAAGTAGATCATCATCTGAGCCATCTCCCTGGCCCACGGCTGGCTATCCACAACCATTTTTTGTTATCGGTCACTTGCTTCGCTGCCCAATAGGAATAACTGATGAAGACCGCACGCTTCTACTCACAGCTTCTAAGGCAGAATCTCTTCTTTTCTCTGTCATCTGTTGTTTCTCTCTACCCTAGAATTAGAGCAGACGCTGAACACCAAAGAGTATGGGGCCCCCACTATTTGAGAGAGGTGATTTTACAGTGAATTAACTTGTTTTCTTACTTGAACTGAATACCTGCAATCCCTGATTGTCACATTTACCTTTTGTTGTAAAACTAAACTAATTGAAGATGCTGCCCTCAGGGGCCCAGCGCACCGTGCAATGAATGTGGAGAACCCTCTTCAGTTTAGCGTTTTAATTATTCATAATTATAATGATTTCTGTTTATCTGAGATCTTTGAAAAATAATTCTAGCTTATTAAACAAAATGAGAAGCTGGGTGATGGGGCTTTGCTTTGTTTCTCACTGAGGTCAGCGGGCCTGGACATATGCCAGCTTCTCACAAGCACTGACCCGTTTCCTAGCTATTGGGTAGTCATAGTGGACATATGACCGGCCCTGGAGTAACAGAGTACCCCTGTTCCTCCCTGATTGCTTTAGAATTCCGGCCTCCACTGGGAATGTGAGGCAGAGGATTGACAAGAACTCAAGTGAAGAACTGTACATATTTTATAGCAATATGTTAATAAGTGAAGGAATTCAATAAGGTCAATTCTGATATTAGCCGAGTGTACAGTACTTTTTTTAGACCCGTGGATATTATTAAAAGAACTTCTGCGTTTAGCCATAAGTTCCTGTTGGCAATTGTTAGCTGCTGGGAGAAGGAGAGACAGTTTTTACTAAGAGTGTACCCACAGCAAGCTGTACACTCCCCAGTGGAAGACTACACATTCAAGAATTTGGGCAGTCTAAAATAGTCTTGAAGGATTTAAAAAAAAAATAGGACACAAAGTTGGGTGGGTAGGGAAGGGGCATGGATCTTGGAAGAATAATGGGAAGGGGAAGTGAATATATTCAAAACATGTTATACTAAGCTCTCAAGCAATTAATGAAATAAAATAAAACAATCATAAAAGGAATCTGTGAATGTATTTCGTGTGTGTGTGTGTGTGCGTGCGTGTGTGTGTGTGTGTGTGTGTGTGTGTGTGTCTGTCTGTCTGTCTGTCTTTCTGTCTGTATGTATGTATGAGTTTATGTGTATGTGCTTGCTTTGTGTTTCAATTATATTAGAATCCCCTGTACTCAAATAAAGACGGATTTCTGAGCCACTTCAGATTTGTGTCTACTCTTATTGATCCATGTTAGTGATAATGATGTGTTAATTTCCTACAATCTATGTACAAGTCACACATGCTCTAAGTAGTAACCTGATATAGTAATTGTCACCTTCAAAGGGTTTTCCAGTCTAGTCTATGTCACCTGCCCCATATTGTCTTGTCCTTAGTCTCTCGCATGTAACACTTTAGTTTTGATTCAAACATGTACTCTGAAGCTAGAGAATTCTTTTGTCTCCTGGTAGCCTATAGCCAAAGGCAAGAATGATTGATGTGGAGAATCATCATATCTATAAAAAAGGTCAGAACAGAGATGCACAAAATGTGGCATTTTTAAAGAGAATACATTCAGCCATGTTCACATCAAGTTCTCAGAGTACAGATAAGAAACAAAGTTCTGCTTGAGAACATTATTTGAAAGTGTGTGTGAGAGTTCCCATTTTTAAAACCCTCCCAATCAACTAGAATGAATAATTGTGTATTGTATTCTGAGGTCAAGGTCCACATTGTGATTTATGGCCCTTATCAAAAAAAATGTTTAACAAAAGGACTAGAATAACCATAAGGGAAAATGTTTTCTAACATTAAGATACCCTTAACGTCTCTTTCCATAACAAACATTTAACCACAGCTACTAAGGAAAATGATTTTTTTCAAAAATTGATTGTAACAATTACTTTCCAGGTGTTCAAAAGGAGAAAAACTCACAAGACAACCAGGAGGTGAGGTGAGGCCATGGGACACCCACTAGCCAGATAATCCTCACTGGAGTAACTGAGAAGTGTCTGAATGTAGGTATGTATGTGGAGGCCCTCTCTCTAATCTTCTTAACTTCAACCACATATGGTCAGTCACACTGGTTACCTCACCAGCTCTCTGAAGGCAGGCTTGCATAGACACAGAAGTGTCCATGCAGAACCTCCTGATGGACCTCCAGCATGATGTTTTCCTGGTCTTTTGAGCCTTTAAAACATTCTACAACATGATTGTTAATCTCCCCCGACTCTATAGTTTCAATATTCACATTTCCTTCTTACTGAAGCCTATCGTTACTTCTTTGATTATAGAAATCCTTTGTCTTTGATGTCTGTGCTATCTACAATACTTTCCCAAATAACTCTGCTCATCTTAGTTCTCCTATGATAGGGAAGGTGAACCGATTAAGAGTGTATACATTTGAAGTACATAAGTTTGAGCACCCACTCAGCCAATCTTTAGTTGGGGGCCCTTGGTAAGACTTTATGTTAAAACTTTCTATCTTTACTTTTCTTGTCTCCAAAATTGAAGATAATAAGACTCTTGGTAGGCTTTTACCTCTCTGACAGATACCAGAGATAAACAACTTCAAGAAGAAAACTTAATTTGGGTTCATAGCCTCAGTGATTATTGTTCATGACCAGTTTACTCCATGTTTCTGAGTCTGTGGTAACCACTATAGCAGAAAGTTTTGGTAAAGAGAGGTTTAGCAGCTCGTGGCAGGCCAAAATCAGAAAGCATGGAAGGAAGGGTCCAGGACAAGATGAATCCTTTAAAGACACACCCTCCATGACCTACTTTGCCCAGCCTGACTCTACTTTCCAAATACTTCCCAACATTACATAATATAATTAATCCATTAAAGGATTTAGTTGTGGTTGAGTGAAAGCCTACACAGTCCAATCACCTTAAAGTGATGAGCCTACCAGCTGAGAGCAAGCCTTAACACATGAGTCTTGAGGGGACACATACTATTAAAAAAATGACAAATTCGATGCATGTTATTGAATTGCTCTTAAGACTAAGTAAGGTTTTGAGGGAAAGGTTTACAGGAGGGTTTAAGACATATTAAACCATCAAAAATTCTTACAGTCAATTCTTGGAGTATATACTAGAAAGTAGATGACATGGTCCCATTTCAAAATAAGAGCATTATGGCTCTAGGAGGTTAGATTACTATCTGAAAACACAGAGAGAGGCAAAATCGGCAGGAAAATGTCTGATGTAAGGACTAGGCTTCAACTCAACATCACCAGACACAACAGATTCCTACTTATTAGTTGATGTTGATAATGATGAAACATTTTCTCCTCCATTCATAAACTTTTAAACTAAAGTATTCTGGGATTATATAAGATCTGACTCTTCAAAAGACATGTTGATGGTCTGTAGCTTAATGGTAGAAGGATTGCCTAATGTATACAAGGCCCTAGGTTCAATCCCCAATACCTCAAAAAGACAGAATTGGAATGTAAATTTGTGTAATGTGCATGCTTGTGTACAGATGTGCATGCATGTGATGGATGTGTCTGTAGGCAAGAGATCAACATTGAGTGTCTTCATTTATCATGCCCTACCAGTAGTTTTTGAGACAGGATCTCTCACTGTACCTAAAACCTGCCAATCTGGCTAGACTGGATGGCCAGCCAGCTTCAGATAGTCTCCTCTCTCACTCTGCCTCTCCAGCACTGAGGTTTTAATCAGATGCCATCCTTCCTGGCTTTTTCACAAGGATACTGAGGATTGAATTTGGGATTTACAAGGATTTTGCTGAGTCATCTCTCTAGCCTCAAGAATGTGAAATATGCTTAGTTGATGGTAAATACATTTTATTAATGGATTACCTTGAATGGGATAAACATAACTACTGCATTATTTTGATTGTTTCTGTTTGTTTGTTTGTTTGTTTTCCTTTTTGGCTTGGTCCAGAGACTAAAATTTATCTCATGCATTTCTGTTTTGAGACACTGAATAAAATATCTTTTATACTCATTCTATAATTGGGACAACTCAAGTAATGTAAACAGCAGAAATACTTAACACATTCCGTTTAATGTTGATTTTTATTATTTTTAATTATGTGTTGGTATATATATCTATATGGCAGGTGCCTGTGGAGGTCAGAGACATCTGATCCACCAGAGCTGGAATAACAGACAGTGGTGAGCTGCCTGATATGGGCATTAGGAAAACAATTCAAGTCCTCTGGAGGAATAGCAAGTGCTTTTGACTTCTGAAGCATCCCTCCAGCCCTATTTAACACATTTTCATCTCTTCTTATCCCCTAAGAGGCAGCCCTCTGCCTTCTGCCTTTTACCCTGTATCCCATGCAGTGGTGAAGGTTGTACACAGTATTCCAAGCTAAAAGTTAACCTGTAGAATTTAAGGGGATATGCTATTTCAGAAAATAACTATAAAATTTAGATGAGTGATTTTTGAAATTATTTTTGGAGAATTTACAAAGTACTCTGCAACATGGCTGAGTAGTCCATCTTGGAATCTCTTTCTGTCTAGGAAGTCATACATTGGATCTATGCTTCTGCAACAATTATGCTGGCTTATAGTAGATAAATCAACGGTCTAGTAGATAGTTCAGCTTAAATTCAACTTTATCCTCTATGTAGTCACAGGGACAAGTAAGCCCTAGATTCAGATTCTCTATTTAATCACTAATTTGAAGTAGTCTAAAGCACATCATATATCCTCACACCTTGGTTTCCTCATCTCACATGACATTATTATGAGAATCAAAATATCTTCTGCAAATGAAATTAAAATTATCAGAGCTCATATAACAACTTACAGTATAATAAATACTGGTGAAGTTAAAAAGTCCACAAATGGTCCAAAACTCCTGGAAGGCAATGGTCAAGATACAGATATTATAAAAGAAAGCCAAAGACCAAAGATACAGAAACATCACACTGTGTAGAGATTCTGGGAGCAGATGTAGGAAAGAGTACCAATGCTGATCCAATGCTGTTTAGTTCTCAGTTCTTAAATGTCAGAGACCCAGAATATGGTATTTCTTGGGTTTTTGTTTGTTTTATAATTTGTGTTTTAAAATGTAACTACATGGCCATAATCTATAAACTAGGAACTTGACAAAGTGTCATTGGACCAAGAACACAGGAGGTTCTTGGTCTTCTGGGGAAATATTTCAACAGCAAATGCAGAAGAGACACAAAACTTAGATTTGTATTACAGTTAGAGCAATCCAAGTATACTCTAGTGATATACAAATGGAAAAAGTTAGAGCCCTGAGTGATCTTCGGTTTGCTATTTTTATACAAAGCTTTTGTGTATATTTATAAAGTAGGGTGGCATGTTCATAAGTTTGTGACTTTTTTGTCCTATGACAAATCATGGAAAAACAGATCTCCCTTTGAGGGTTTTTCTTCCTGAGTTCCACTTAAAAGCCCACAAGAGAAGACCATCAAATGCTAATGATACTTTAATAAAGTCAGAGTCCTTTAAGGGTACCAACCCGGCTTTTCAAGATACCTGTGTTCCAGCTCATAAAGTCCTCCCCTTATCTTAGCTTTTTGGAGAACAGGAAGAACTTAGCTGCAGCTTCAAGGATGTTTAACCACGGACTTGTATTTTTTTAACTGTCGTGAGAAACATATGGAGTTGTCTTGTTACTCCATGTCTAACTCCTTGCTTAACCAACCTAAATCAATGGGTAAAAACATTGGAACTCAAATAACATATAGAATCTTATTTAATAAGCTGTTATTTGGCAAACTATTCATTTGGAACCTTACGAGTAATACAACCCATAAATAGATAGTGCATGTGCACTGCCCAGCATGCCTGGAACACCCTAAGATCTTCTATTATGTTAGTCTGGGTTTTGACCTTGTAGATGCTGTAGGGAAGTGAATATATTTGATGAATGATTAAGCATAAACTTCAGTTATTCTGATACTAAACCCATCTCAATTTCAAAAAACTGTGAGATGCTTTCTGTTTCTTAGCACTTAATTGCATTCCTACTGAATTAAGATAAGAGCTTATTAATCTCAACATATGGCATAATGCTTTTATTTAGATTTAATAGTTACCATTGTTTCTTTGTATCCTTTTGTTTATCCATTGTTTCAGATGCCTGCTCCTAGATTGTTTTACAAAGCTGTATTTTAGCCTTTGTCAGAACAGGTAACCTCAATGATAATCTTCACCAATATCTTAGAAACCAGAAAAATGAGGAAAGAGTTTTTATGTGTCCACTGTAAAAGCTTACCCAAAGGAGATCTCTGCTTCTGAGATCTAAGGATGAGATGGAGAATCTATAATCAATGACTCAATTCCATCTGTCCAAGTATGACTGTCAAGTAGTTCTAAAAATACCAACTTAGAATGCCAGCAGTACATTTGAGGTTTTTAATAGCCTCCTTAGGAGGTGGCATTGATCATTATTACTATGTATTAAGCATCTTGATGGAAGAGTGGGATGCAAAGATAATGATTACAGAAATATATCAACGAATAGTCATTCTGGGGCATATTGGGGGGATACAGCCCTCAGTTACAAAATTGTTTTGTAAACTGTAAGTATCTATACGAATACTCTTTCCCAAAAACAGGTGTTTACAATGCCAATCTGTGATACTATTACAAGGAATTAAGACACATTGGAGAAAGTTTTCCTGCCTCTGCTACTCAAAGTGCTCATAAGCATGTGTTCTTCAATACACAACAGAACAGCATTGTCTGAAAACACCCAGGCATTGCATCAGCTATTCATGGGCACCTGCTCCATGGTTGTTTCCTGCTCTATTGCTCTGGTAAAACACCATGACCAAAATCAACTTGGGAAGGACAGGGTTTATTTCAGCTTATAACTCTGAGGTCACATTCCTTGCTGAGGAAAGTCAGGGCAGGAACTCAAGGCAAGAAGCTGGAAGCAGTAGCTGATAAGGAGGTCATGGAGGAGTGCTGGTCACTGGCTTGCTCCTTGTGATTTACTCAGTCTGTCTCCTTATATAACCCAAGACCACCAGCTCAGGAGTGGTACCACTCACAGTGAGATTACC